TGATATTCGTGACAGGAAAAAAAAAGATCCAAGTTTCAAATTCAATTACATCTGTGTGTAGTGTGTAGTGTGTATTTGGGTTTGTGTAAACCACCAAATGAACAAAAAAAAACAAACCAAAATCTAATGAGATTTCCCGATGAGATTCAAAATGTTTATTTTGGACATTGATACTATGATTTTAGGGAAAAAAAATCAAGAATCATCAGCAATCAGTTTCTGGGAGAGAGAAAAAAAGAACATATTTTTTTCATATTTGGAAAATTCCGGAAAAAAATGAAGAAATTTTCATTTCATAACCTTGAACGTTATTTCAAATGTTCAAGGTTATTTGAATTTAAAATTCTTTCTGCATTTTCTTTTCACAGAAAAATTTTCTTCTGAACAATTTGATTAACCATAATCATAATCATCATAATAACTGTATTTAACGATAATGATTATTATTCGAAAAAAACAATGTTCATTATCGATTGCTGTTGCGAAACTGCAAAAAAGAGTCAATGGAAAGGAGATTGAGATGAGTTTCATGTGACACTATAAATAGAATATTTAAGACCGAATAAAAAAGAAGAAATTTCTCTGGAATTTTTTTTTTTTTTTTTGGATTTGAAACCACCAAACTTCAAGAACAGAAATTACTGAGAAAAAATGGATTTTTTCCAAAAAAATTTAAATAACGAGATGAAGGAAAAATGGGGGAGAAAAAACCAACTGAACCAATTTTGATTTTAAAAAAATCTGAAAAAATGGTTATCAAACAAAGTGAGAATTTTTAATTTTGCTAATCGATTTATCCAAATTTAGTAGGCCCGAATGATGATGATGATGAGCTGTCAGTTGATTTCCATTTTTTTTGTTTTTTTTGTTTTTGCATCATAAATTCATATTCAGCACATCGCGGGAATGACATCCCTATTTTTTTTTGCGTCATCATCGTAATTCAAAAAAGTAAAGTAATATGATGACATAATTGAAAAATTCATTTTTGAATTCAATGGATTAGAAACAAAAAAAAACAAAACTGAATTTTCATTTCATTTGTTTATAATCTTATTCTGTTTTTCATAATTTTCACAAAAGAATTCTCAACTATCACATCACTAATCAAGTGAGTCAACCAAAAGCAAAATGATATTTTATTTTTTGCAAAATAAAAAAACCAAACTTATCAAGTTAACTTTTTTTTTGTTTGTTTGTTGCAAATATTAAATAACACAAATGAAACAAGACAAAAAAAAATATAGAAAAACAAAACAAAACAAAATTCTTGATCTAATGAAAACGAAAAAATTCTTAATGATTGTGTTCGTGTTTGGCTAGCATCATCATCATCGATAAGAAAACAAAAACAAAAAATTCCTTCGAGAGAATGATCCAGCAACAAACAAACCAGCAGAATTCTTATCATCATCAACAAGCAAAAGATTGAAATAATCAAATTGATGATAAATATACTGAATTTTTTTTTTGGTTCTGGATTCTTATTTCTATCATCATCATCATTGGGGAAAAGGCAAACAAACAGGGAAAAAAACTGGCCAAATTAATGGACCTTCTGGGTAAATTTCATTATTATTATTATTATTCTCATTAGAGTTGATGATAATGATGATAATCATCATCATCATCATAGAAATTTTTATAGTTTTAGTTTCTACTTTTTTCACGTTTGTTCGTTCGTTATAATGAAAATGACTTTTGTTCCATAATTTCCACGTAAAACAAACAGGGGAAAAAAAATGAAATTTCATTTCATTCTTATGAAATTAATATGGCCCGATGAATGATAAGTAAAATTTGAGCAACAAAAAAATGAAATTGCAATAAATACTTAATATGAATAATAATAATTTTATCATTTTTGATTATCTGTGGTTAGGAATCTATTGTGCAAATTATAAATTACAAAAAAAAAAAATTCAAGAATCCAATGAATAAAATATTTAGTTATCTGGCAATGTTGTTGTTTTCTGTGTTTTTTTTTGAATCAATTTGAATTGCATCAATGAAAAATAATTGATGATGATGATGATGGAATGATAATAGCATTTTCTTAACGCTTCAATGGCCAATTCTATTGATAATATCGAATAATAATAATGGATAAATATTTGAACTATGATAAATTATAATTAGCACCGATCCAAAATAATCGAACCGAATCAGATTGAATTTGAAACACAAATGGAACAACTACAACCACAACAAAAACTTTAATGGAACGAATATTGACTGAATATTTTTTTTTTGCAACAAAAATTTCCAACCTAATCGATTCTGGCTAATCTCGTAGAATATTTTCCAAAGAAAACCAAAATTTTTTCACAGTAAAAACTTTTCTGATGTAAAAATCGAAAAGTGGGGAAAAAAATGAAACTTGTGACGCCATCTATCAACAAGTTTAAGACAAGAATATTATTGTAATTTTTTTCCAAAATCGATTATTATATTGATATAACAAAGTTTGTTCACTTCAAGAATGTAGAGAAAACAAAACAATAATAAAATAATCATCAAATTGAATCCGTCAATTTTGTTCGAAAAAAGTGAAACGAGTGAGAAAAAAAAATGCCAAAGATCAAAGAAAAAATAAACATTCAGTCAATCAAACAATGACCAACATTAACCACAATCAAACAAACAGAAAAGATATCTATAGTTAGTTATTTTTGAGATAAAATAAAAGTTTTATCTTTTTCTCTCTCTCTCTCTCTCTCCCATTTCTCATTCTTCTTCTATTTTTTTTGCGGCTAATCATTTTGATGAAGAAATGAAAGAATGTTATTTCCACTTACATCCATGTGTCACATCATCAACAACAAATATCAAAATGATCGAAGAGGATTCGGAGGAAAAAAGTTTCAATTTTAGTTTCATGGAAAAGAATACAGCGAAAAAAATAATGTGAATTGTAAATGAAAAAAATGATCAATCAATAAGGGAAAAAAAACATGGACAAATTTTCTATTTTTAAGCGAATTTTTGTTCTCAGAAAAATGTTTGTAATAAATGATACGGTAGGAATTATGGTGTTGAATTTGAATGATAATTTTTAATATTCACATTTGATGATTGGATACCCGAAACGTTTCCAAATCACATTCTAACTATAACGGGAAAAGAAAACAAAGAATATATTCTTAAACAGTCAAGACATTACGATACGGAACAAAAAAAAAAGAAAAACAATTTGAATGTGAAAACAAAACACAAAATCCAAAATGAAAATCAAATGAATGTTTTTGAAAAGATAACATAGAAATACGATATTAGAATTGTTTTCAATGAATAAATATTGAAACAACAAAAACAACAAAAGAAAAGAAATGAAAAAGAAAAGCAGAATGAAGAAGCTTATAAACATCGATAAGATATTCTTATGGTTTCAATCAATACACCTACAATCACCACCACCATTCGCCCACGCACGCACACCTTATTGAATGAAATAATTCAATGAAACAAATAATAGGCTTATCAACAAGAGAGAAAAACAAAACAGAAAGTCAAAATAATGATAACAGAGACAACAACGTTAAAAAATATTCATTATCATTAATGTTGCCATTTTAAATATCAACACAAAAATACCTTATCCGGATTCCTAATTTTTTTAACAGGCATCAAGTCAAAAATAAAATAATTTTGTTTGTTTGGCAAAGGGAAGAAAAACAAACAAACAAACAAAAATCAAGTAATTTCACAGCCTTGTCATTGAATGTTTAATTAAATAAGCGAATGATAATTTCATATAACAACAACAAAAAAAACATTTTGACTAACAAATTGTCAATCAAATGACATAAATTCAGTGATTTTTAAATATGATGGTTATAATTGAATTTATCTGATTGGAAAAATCATCATCATCATTAGAAACAAACAAAGAATAATAAAGTTATAACAAGTTGAATTTTTCCAATTCCAAAATAATGATGATGATGAGCTTGAAAATTTATTTTGAATGAATCGATGATGTTCAAGTTGTCTTTTGCTGAATGACAGTAACTTTTTTTTATTCATTCTTTTTGAAGAATATGAAAGTCTCTTGATATTTGCGAAAAGAATTGAAAGTTAATTATTGTCACGTCGATTCGTTGATGTTTATTTTATTTCATCATATATTTTTTTCCATTTGTTACAAATTTGTTCATCTTAATTCTAGTTATTGCTCAACATTTCTCGCATGTTTTCTTCTATTCTTTATAATCTAATTCTGTTTTTTTTCAGCTTTGCACAATGATTGTTTGACGAAAAGAAGAATTTTGTGTGAAGTGAAAAAAAAATAACTGAAAAAGAAAATGAAAATTGAAACACCCATCACCGATGTTCTGGAATTCCAACGAAAAAAAAAATAAAACCAGAAAATACAAATTAAGAATTCAAAATGATGATGATCCAAAGAGAAGAGCAAATTTTTTGGTTGAGTGTAATTTTAGTATGGAATTTTCGTCGGTTGTTGTTGGGTTAACACGATTACATCATGATGAAAAATGTGTTTGAATTTTATTTACACACACACACACACAGAAAGATAGCATCCAATGATAAATATATCGCAATGAAAATGCCAAAAATCATTGGTGTGTATTCCGCAAACACGGTAATATTTTTTTTTGGAATACCGTACGGAAAACCAAACCAAACAAATAGCATAAAGAAAACCTTAACAGACTTTGTAAATGAAATGAATAAATAAATATCTTTGACGAAAAAAAAACCAAGATTTTATAAATCAAGAACCAGACAAAAAAGAACACCAAACAATGACCAAAATGAATAGAGAAAAAAAAGAGGCGAATTGAAATTCTTTTTTTATTTTGTTTCGTTTCGAGAAAAAAAATAAGCTAAATTTTCAAATAAATGAAAAAAATTGAATAATTTAAAAAAGAGAAAATAATAACATGCAGTGTAAAATAAGAGGTACGAGTGAAAAAAATAAAATCAATTCAAATCAAGAATCCAAAAGAAAAATGACAATTTTGTTTTTTTTTTGTTCAAATGTTTAACTTTTTTGTTAACTGGGTAAGTTGATGACAGCCAAAGAAAATGTAAGAAAATTTCTTTGAAAATTCAAAATGAAAAAAGTAAATAGAATTTCTGAAACGTTGACAGAATATATGTGAGAGAGACGATCCATTTTCATTTTTTTTTTGCTGTTGTTTAGTTTATAAAGAAATTTCTTCACTTTTTTCATTGACTTATTGTTTTTTTTGTCACAAGAATTTCGTTTAGAATCTTTGATAGAAAAGAAAACAAAACTGTTGTTTGTCGACTAGATGATTGTTGGTTTGATTGATTGATTGATTAAGTGTAAGTGTGGAAAAAGTGTTTTTGTCTATTTTTGTTCATTTATTTGTTGACAACATTGGTATGGAAAACAATGATTGAATCGTGGATAAAATATTGTTTGATGTTAGATATTGATTATTTGTCTTAGTGTTTAGCATTTTTAATGATTGTCGTACTATTGATTGTGGATAGGCAAGCTGATAGCATACGGTTCCGGTGAATAGAATTTTAGCCATCATTGTACCAGTATAGATTCTAGATTTGTTTTAAAAATAAAAATTAGGTTAGGTTTTCAATGTTAAAAATAAATTAAATTAAATAACATACAAGAATAATTGATTCTGTGCACGTGGTATAGTGGCTGGATCTTCTTTCAATAGAAATCTTCGTACGCCCAATATATAATCATGAAAATAATCTGGCCAATTTAATTTTCGCATATCGATCGGAAATCTTTCCGATACATTATTCATCATCATTGTCGATTGTTTTTGTTGTTTTTTTCCATATAAATTTTCATCATTTTTACGTTGATTACGATAAACATCTTCAGCTGCTTCTAATAAACGTAACATATTATTACCAGTATATGTCCATTCATTTGTTGTAAAAAATTCTAATGCATCCGTAACACGATGAACTTTTTGATAAACTTGATCCAATCTGAATATAAAGAGAAAGAAAAAAAAACAGTAAAATTCAATTAAATTCAATCAAATGAAAAAAGAAAAAAGAAAATTAAATTCAACATTCTAAATTCTAATCATGAAAAATCATTGCCAAAATAATCAAAGATGACAACATGGGAAAATTCTAATTTAAAAATTTAAAAAAAAAACGAAACAAACATTATTTGATCTAATCTAAGCATAATAAAAACATTTATTGTCTGAAATTTTCATTAAAATGATATTAATTTGTTTCTCAATGATCATCATGAAATGGGAAAAAAAGGAGGACTATAAAATGATATTGAATCTAGATCGAAACCCGAATAGACATTAAATCGAATACCGAATAAAAACAATAACGGTAATTTCAAATACCGGTACAAAATAATGTCAATTGAATAGTAGTTTAATGGAGATGCGATGTTTTTTTTTCTTAGCAATTCAAACAATGAAATTAATTCTCTTTTGCTCATTTACTAAACAAATAAATGAATGAAATGAAAATTCATTTGTAAAAGAATTTTTTTTTTGTCAAAATTCGAGAATTGTATTCAGAAGAAAAAAACTTCATTGCATTCATTTGAGTTCATCATTATCATCATCATAACTAACACTTAGTTTCTTTGTTTGGCTAGAATTTTCATTATTATTAAAGTCTGTATGTAGATTATAAAAGGCTTTCCCCTTTTTTTGAGGATTTATTCGGCCAATAAGATGATAATGTTCCAATGTTTGTTTGTTTTCAGAGAATGAAAAAAGAATGGTGGTAATTTCATCTTGGCTAATAAAACAATTGCAAAACAAAACTAGGCAGAAATAGTTTCTATTTGTTCTTGAAAAGATTGAATTTGTTTTGTGTTCATTTGAGTGATGTTTTAAAATTAATTTTGTTAAAAACATCCAGAAAAAAAGGAAACAGAATTTGTTCAAAATTTTCCCATTTTTTGTTTGTTTTGTCTGAATAATAATATAGACCACAAACGAGTAAAACAAAATTGCGCTGATTGATTTGCAGTAAAAAAATAGAATTCAGACTTACATCGGTGTAAAACCCATAAATTTGAAAAGAAAATCGACAACAAATGCCGGTATCGTATGTTCAAGATATACATTGATTTGGTTCAACATTTTCGAACGATGAAATCGAACATTCGGTACACGAAACATTTCCATCGATGGATAACGGCACATTAATGGCATTGAAATATCTCGTAATTGATTCCATGTGACCGGATTGTGTGAACCAGTCACACAATTTACGACAAATATTTCATTATTATCCAAACATTTACGATTATTTGTAGTTGTTGACGTTGTTGTTGTTGTTGCGGTTGTCGTTAATGTTGGTGGAAATTTTGAATGTTTATAATGATGAACAGCAACATACCATGATGATAGTATACATGTATTAATGACCACATCCACCGGTATTAGATCACATTGATATTCTTTCTGTACATTCATTGAACGTAGAATACCTTTACCGCTTACGACTAAAAATCCAGTAAATCCATTATAATTATCTACCCAACCGGGAAATGGTTCATTCAATGATGGTGTTATAATTGATGGTCGAACAATTGCGGCTGGAAATGGTCGCCATATAATATCATTTGATTCAATATTATCATCATCATCTATAGTTGTATTGGATGTGGTAGTTGATGGATAAAAACAACCATTTGCCACTTCTTCGGCTAATAAATGTTCAGCCAATGATTTTGTATAATGATATGAACATGGTCGACCACGATATAATGTTTCAGATAATCGATTCATAGTATCATCATTCATCCAACTATATAGAAGAAAATTGATATTAAAATTTTCGTTTTTTTTAATCAATGAAAAACAAATATTTGAATCAAACTTACTCGGCCATTTCAAGTATTTTATCCGGTGATATTGGTTCAAAATAAACACATTCATCAATTTTTTGTTTATTTACCGTACAATATGCAGTGGAAACATGTACAAATGATCGAAGATTTTTCAATTTTTTTGCCAATTGTACAACACGTTTTGTACCCAATGTATTGATTAATAGAGCATATTTTAATGGTTCATCAAAACGAATCGTTGCAGCTGAATGAAAAATAATTGAAACATTATCGCGAATTGTTTGTAAATCGATTGGATTGATACCCAATCCAGGATAACGAATATCACCACTAACGGCATAAAGTTTTTGTAATCTTTCTGGATATTGTCGACGTATACGTTCGAATACTTGACATTCGGTTAATTCTTCTAATCGTCGACGTATTAATTGACCAGATTTTGGCCGTAACATAATATAAATTTTATTCAATGTTGGAAATTCATAAAGTAATTTTTCAATCAAAACTTTACCAACAAATCCAGTACCACCTGTAATAAAAATAGATTGACCATCATAAAATTCTTCCAATGTAGGCAAATATTTTGTTGGACATTGTTCAGATGATGATGATGATGTTGATTCATAATCATCATCGATACCAGATTCAGATGTAATTGTTGTTGCTGGTTCTTTGAAATCATCATTATCATTATCATTATCATCATCATTTTGATTATTTGTTGATCGGATTAAATCATTTTTCAGCGAATTTAACATGATTGTATCAGATGATGATGTCGATGTTGATGTTGATGCTGATAATGATGAATGTAAAAAATTTATTACATTTTCATTCTGTTGTTTATCATTTGAATAATTATTTGGCGTCATTTCTTTTTTTTATATTTTGCTGAATGAATTAGAATATAAATTTAAAAGCAGAAAAATTAAAATTACAAATGTCAAATTAACGAGTAAAAATAAAAAGATTGAGGGAATTTGAGAGAGAAAAAAAATGTGTGTTTAATGCATTTTGCATAAATTTTTTTTTCAACTCAAGAAAATTTTCTAATATTCAAGTCAAATCAAACAAATTTTCAACCCTTATGATGACAATTAATCTAAATTTTTGCACTCATTTTGTTCGAAACAAAATGATGATTTCATTGGAAATTTTTTTCCCTTAATATTTCCCGGAACAATTTTTTCTTCTTCTTCTTCTTGAATCAACCAAATTCAATTGTAACATATTTTTTTCTCAAAAATATATATATAAGATTTACTCTCGTTAAGTTTTTTTTTCACACACACACACATTCGGTTTGCCACTTTTGCTGCTAATTCAAAATTTGATTTGATAAGATTTATTTTGGAATAAAATTTGCCGAAAACATTTGTGGAAATTCAATTCTGCATCTGTAGAAATAGAATCGAATTATGATGTATAAGAGTGGAAATAGAATCGAATAATAAATTCGAACCGAATCAGCAAAAAAAAAAGAAGAAGATTTCATTTTGTTTTATTTTCATCTTTGATTGAAAGAAAAAATTCTGATCAAAATTAAATTTTTTTTTCAAATTCATGCTAAAATCTATTTTGTCGGTGTTTGACTAAAAAAGAACCGTCATTAGCATTTATTTATGGTAATGGGAAATCAATTTTTTTTTACCGGGATATTTTCATTTTTTCGGCAAAAGGAAACGTACCGGTATGTTTGATCTTGAAATTGGAATTTATTTTTTCAAAAAATATTTGTTTGTTTTTTTGCTCATAAATAATATTGACAAATCAATATATCTGGTCAGTATGTTTTGTTTTGAATTGTTATTGTTATTTTTATTTTTTTTTTTGCTTTTCAATTTCAAGAAAAAGTTTCAACTTACCGGAATTACTATTTTTTCATCATACACTTTTTTTTACATTTTCATTATGAATTATGATTCCGGATATTAAAAGTAAACTTACACTTCGTATATGAATATTTTCTTTTTCACTGGCCAACGGGCATTTACACATTCAAAACCAAAATTCAATTCAAAACTTAAATAAAGATGATTATGATGTTTAATGATGTGTCTATAACACAGTGATACAATATTTAAATAGAAAATGAGAAATTCAAGAAGAAATTATCATTGCAAAATAAAACCGGAAGCCACGATGGACGATAATAAACAATTGTTATCGATTATTGTCAGCAACAATCGATAGTCAACACAAAAAAAAACAATCGAACATACAAAACATTCGAAAATTCGAACACGAACAAAACAAACAAGCAAAAAAAAAAAACATTGAACTCAATCATAACCACGATCGATGATCAAATAGGAAATTTTTTTCTATTGTTATTCGTGGAACAACATCGATTGATGATGATTTCCAAGATGAAAATGTTTTTGTTTGGCCATTGTTAAATTATCATCGATCATCATCATTATTATGCTTGTTTGTTGATGAATTCAAATTTGTACTACCGAAATAGATTTGTTACCTGTTTTAGGAACGGGGAAATATGAAGAAAATTTTACCATAACCATTTCTCATCTTTTCACTTTCACTTGAAATAACTTTACATTCAAACTTCATTTTTTGGAATGACCAATGAAGAAAAATAGCCATTTTTCAGACAATCATCTATTGTTATTTCATCTTGGTGATACCAAAAATAACCGAATTTTTTTTATATACACATTATGATGATTTATGGTTGTAGTTTTACGAAAAACAAATTTTAAAAGAAAGAAAAAAACAATAAAACTAGTTTCTCTTCTCACTATATATATATGCACAGGTAAAACAAACGGTTATTTACACAAAAATAGACATTCTTATGGACATTCAACAAAACAACAACAAAAATCGAGAGAAATGAAAATACTCTTAATTTTTTTTCATCATTGGAATTTAGGTTTTTCTTTTTGTTTTGGTCAGACAAAACAAAAAGAAAACTCGGTATCACAAAAGAAAAGAAAATACCGAAACTGATTTGTTACCAAGTTTACAAAACATTCGCGATTAATGAATATCCGAGAATTATTTTCTTCCAAATAAAATCTACAAGTTTCAATCAAATCTTTTCGATTTGTTTCATGACATTTTCAGCAACAACAAAAACTTTAATTTGAACGTTTTTTTTCATTCAATCATTCACCGATAAACTTACGTTTTGATTTGCAAGAAAAAAAAAATGCTAAAATTTCAAAAAGAAAAACAGAACACAAAAACACTGTTTGATTGACACTGATTTTCACTGATGTAAAATTGAACCAAAAAAAAAAAAAATTATCACAAAAAAAAAATCCAATAACCGTAAAAAAAGTCACCTGTCTGTCTTTTTTTCACTGCTAAAAATTTTTCCATCAGGTCGTTTGTATTTATACATCTAAATTATCATCGTTCGTTCGTTCGTTCATTCAATCTTAAAGGGAATATTGTTCATAATCAACAACTGAACAATACCTTTTTCAGTCATAATTTCTCTCTCTTTTTTTCACATTTTGTTTCCGTTACATTTATCTATTCATCCACACAAAAGATTTGTATTTTGAAGGGAGATGAAGCAAACAAAAAAAAAATGTTAAAATCTTTAGCCGAATAAGAAAATTATGTAGAGAAAATCAATGGTGAAAATAGAGAGAGAGAGAATAAGAAAATCCCAAGTGAAATATAGGTAGGATTTTCTTTTTTCTGTGTGTGTGTTTTTTTTGCTTTGTTTGATTATGGTTATGCAATTTACCATTAGATCATCATCATCATTATCTAGTTGGTAATATGATAGCGATGACCAATTATTTTATTCATCATCGCAGTCATCATCATTATCTTCAACGTCATTACTTTCTCTCTCTCTCTCTCACTCTATCTGATAATGGTGATGGTGATAAAATGTCATCTGATCCCTTATACAATCCCTTAGCTTGTTTGAAAGAAAAAATTCATCACAAATTTGAATAATTTCTTTTCAGTCAGACAAAATCCTTTTTTTTACAATTGAATTAATTGAATTGTTATCTATCGATTGGCTATCGATGAATGATTGAATGAATGAATGAGTGCAATAACGTAATCTTTAACAATGGATATTTCATGGTTTTTTTCCATTTGAATGGAAAAAAAATTGAAATTTTGTAGTTTTTTTTTTCTTCTTTTACAATTTCAATCAATCGAATCAATGTGCATGTCACATTGGCAAAATCAATTATGTCATGTCATTTTCTTACATAATTGGTTTTTTTACTTCTTCTTTTTTCAGGCAATTTTTCTCTCTTTCTTTTACTTTTAAAATTTCCAATTAATATTGAATATTCTCGTTGAAAAAAAAAATTTACAAAATTCATACCCAAAAACACAATTGACAATTCCTCAACCGTTCGTTGTTTTTCTATGATGAAAAACCAAAACAAAACAAAACAAAAAAAAGAAATTTCCAATTTGTTTCACTGTTGGATGTCATTTTTCAGAAGAAAAACCATAAACAATCAAAAATTTAAATTTTTTCTTTAAACAAACTTTCTTTTTTTTCAACATCATGTTTATGGAAATGGAACATTTCAACAAAAAAAAAAAAAAAAAAAACACTGGCCAAAAACACTTGGGAAAAAAAAACAAAAAAAAAATCAAATAATTCAAGGATTTT